GACGGGGAGGTGCTCGGCTGCCCCGCCTGCGGTTCGGACTCGCGGGGGGACGGCGCGGACCAAGTCGCGCCCGCGGCGGACCGCCGCCACGTCGTCGTGCCGTCGGTGCAGGCCATCCACGCGCGCAAGGACGAGCGGCGACGGCGCGACGAGGAGGGGGCGGAGCAGCGGCCGGCGCCGGCGCGCCCGCGGCGGCCGCGGGCCGGCGCGCTGCGGGAGCGGCTGGCTGCGCTGCACGCGTCGTGGCTGGAGCCGCGGATCGTGCTCCTTGATGTGGGCATGGCGACCGAGCTGTCAGGGGACGACCAGGCCAACATGGTGGGGCTGTTCAAAGCATTCAGCCAGCTGGAGGGCGCGGAGGCGGCGGACTGGGTCCTGAAGTTCAGCGGTCAGGAGCAGGCCTGCAAGGACCCGGCGGCGTTCAGGTGGGGCGGGGCAATTTTTTGGGGCTTTTTCCTCGGGGGTCGGGGAAGGGGAAGGGTTGCAACCCTTGTGGTGTGCAGCGATTCCGCCGGGCAACGCGGCAAGTTCATTTCGTCCAATTCCACAACTTCACTGAAACCAAACAAACAACGTTTCATTTCCCCGCGAAGGGACGACATGGAGCGGACGTTCTCGGTGCTGAGGGTGGCCCAGGACAGCTGGGACTCGTCCCACTTCGACTCGGGCGCAGACGCACTGGCCGCGGTGCTGGAGCACGTGCGGCAGCACGGCGTGAGCCTGCCTGGCCACATTTGCGCGGTCGTGGTGACGACGCTCATCCTGGAGGGGTGGTCCAACAAGTGAGGGGGCGCGGCGGCCGGTGGTCGGGAGGCAGGGCTGTGGGCGGTCCCTTGCGGCTGCCAGATTGACAGCCGGCACTTTCCCACGGCCACCTGGGGGCGTTCGATTGTTTTTGGGCCGCGTTGAAACGGGCTCCTGGGTCTGGAGCCAGCGCGCTCTGCGGCTGTGAGCTTACGTGCCGGGGGGCGAGCCTGCATCACGCTCATCCCCGTTCTGGGTGTGGCTCCTCGGACCGCGGCTGGTGACCCTCATGGTCATCCCCCCCCCAAGGCCCTGCTGTTTGCAATGTCATCCCCCTCAGCCTGACAGACCCTAACTCGCGCCTCCACCCTCTGTTGGCTTTTCGACACACCCTCTTGCAACACCCTCTCACCCCTTCTCACAATCCCCTTCTCACAAACCCTCTCTCAACCCCCCAATCAAAACGCCTCCATTACCCCCCCCCCTCAGGCTCGACCCCGAGTTCAGCGTCCTCACCCAGGTCCAGGGCATGTTTGAGCCGGCCACCCGCGGCTGGCACGAGAGGATCTGCCACGCGGTCGACCTCGTGATGGAGCGCGACGACACCGCCCTCGCCATAGCATGATCTGGTGATCTGGCGGCACGCGATTTGGCGATCTGGCGGCGCGGAATCCAGATCGCAAGGGGCGAGTGCGCGGCTCCTCAGGCGCTCGGTGGTGGCGTGAGTCGCTGCTCGTGCTGACGGCTTTGGCCGCTTCTCATGCATGTCAGTTTGGAATCGCGATGCATTGCCCTCGTGAACGCTGCAGCCTCAGCAATGCCTCATGCCGGCTGCGCTGCATGGCTGCACACGCGCTGCCCGAGCAGCAGAGTTTCATTGCGGTTTGTGTGGACGCGACAATGTTCTCGGCCGTTTTCGACGTGCGGGCGCTTTGGTGCTGGCCTCGTGCAGTGAGCGCCTGAGCTCGCCCGCAAGTGAGGCGCCTTGCAGCCGCAGGTTTGCGTGACATGTTGCACTCCCAGGCTTTTGGCAGCCGCTGCATTTTGGCGCCTGTTTCAATTCAAAAAAATCTCTGATGCTTTTTTGCTGTTTCGTAAAGGTTCCCTTTCTTCCCGGCCGCCTGGCTGCTCCCACCCACCTTGGCCGGCGGGGGCGCCCCACCCCTGCCCCCTGTCGTGCATGCTGCGATTTCCCCTGACCGAACCATCACGGAGTGCCGCCGACCGCGTCATCGGCCCTCCGGTCCGCCGGCCGCCCGAATGACGAAGTTTTTGAGTGCTCGTTTGGTCGCACCCAGTCGACTGCCTTGCAGGGTTTGTCCGGCGCATGTGTTGCAGCCGCCCGCTTTGATTTTTGCAATCTCCACCCAGCCAGTTTGGTGGGTGCAGCGCCCGCTTGCAGCGGCGGGCGGGGCGCCTGTCGCCCGCCCGCCCGACCAGCGGCGCGCCAGCTCTGACACTCGACATCTCTGGCTACAGCCACACTGCCCAACCCAGCCCGCATGCGCCTTGCTGCACGCATGCGAGCGCGCTTGCACTCCCCTTGACATGCCAAGGGTGTTGCAGTTGGGTGCTGGCTCACGCATGAGCCTGTTGCTTTAGGCACTCGACGCACTCTTTTGTAAACATGCTCGGTCATCTGTTTGGGAAGTCCAGGAGCAGGCCACATGGACGGGCTGCTGTGTCTTGGATTCAAAGCTCGGCCAGTGTTGGCTGCCGCTCATCTTGGCAGCTGCCACTGCCAGCCACACAACACCTTAGGAACTGCTGTCCCACCCACACGTGCCGACTAGTACAGTAGGGGACGACCGACTGAGACCCTTCGAAAGAGGCAGCTGCATCGGACAACTCGGCCAGGCGGTTTGAGCTGGAACTGGTTCGTGGCCGAATGCGGTCATGTGCTTTGTGCAGGCCTGAGTACTGCGGCGGCGCCGCCCCCACAGAGTGCCGTGTGTAACCAACTCTCGATGACCGCGACAGGAGCGGGACTCTGAGAGTGTACACGCAAAACACGCTTACAGTTTATGCTAGCTACCTTTGCGGCAGTCTGCAGCCCCACGCTTATAACGCAAGTAAGAACAGGTGCACAGACCCAAAGTATGCAACGGTCCCTTGTTGGCGGCTGGATGGCAGTCAACGAGATGTGTGTGCCGGCCGCGGCGGCAGCGGAGGAACTTTCATTCTCGTACAACAAATCTGAAGGTGGTGATGATGTCGCATTCAGTCATTCTGATCGCAAGTCGTGGCGTCAGCCGCACGAGCAGCCGTGGCCTGCGCTTACGCTTGGCCACCACGACTGCATATTGGTGGGATCATGGCAGTGCACCGCCCACGAAACCCCAGCGCTAAACCAACGCGCACACAAAAACACCCCGCGGCCACCCATGCCGCAAAATGGCAATTAGCCAAACCTGATTAAGCTACAAAATGGCGATAAGCTTACCAGCTTGTGCCAGTACTGATGCAACATTTGTTCAGTGCGTTGCTGCCCGCCGCATGGGCTGGGGAGACCCAGATGGGGGTTGGTCGACCACGTGCCTAATTAGTCATGGGGTCAGACCACTGGTCAAACGAAAAGCAGGGAGGGACTGCATGTGGAGGTTGCAAGCTTGTGAGTTGCTGCGGCAACCAGACAGCCGATCGTGACACCTTCTCACTGGCAGGACTCCGGCTGCGGGGTGCAGGACAGGAGCCAAGGGAGGGGGAGGATGCCCGAGGTCAGGTTGTTGTTGTGCTCTTGCAGCAAACATGGTGCGCATGAAAGCACTTACAGCAAACTCCCCTGCCCACAGCAGCGGCAAGTGGACTGTCAACGCGGAGTGCTCTCCACCCCCAGAGACACGCAGCACAGTTGCGTGGCTGCAACCAGGCACAAGCCACCCTTGCCAACCTGACATAGGTCAAGACCGGCCCAAAAGCCTTCATCGCGCGCGTCGATGCATTAACGCGTGCCAGCGCACCCACCAAGAACGAAGCAACCAGGGGTTCGTTCCAGAGGTATGACAGGTCTATGTCAAAGCCAGCCACCGCCGGGCTGCCCATGTCCGACACCTTGCAGGAGGTTGCGGCGCGAAAAGGGCCGAAGAGCGTCAGCAAGCGCAGATCGCGAAGGTGGCAGGGGAGGGGTGGGGTTTGCGGCAGAGCCGGAGAAAATGATATGCTCTGGCGGCCCGCCTGTCCGCTGGGTTGAGATTGTCATGCTAGGCGTGCGCTGCGCCCGCGGCGGTGAGCCTGCAGGCTCCGCTAGCTGCTCGCGGGTGAGACGCCTGCCCCAGCCGATGCGGCCCATAGGTCCATAGTCGCAGTCCAACTGCGGACTGCACGCACCTGCACGGCAATCACGTTGAGGCCCGCCACCAGCGCCCTCTTTTTCAAGTCCTTTGTGATGCGCCCGCTGCCGCCGCCGGCCTTCCCACCGGATGGGTCGCTCGCCGCAAGGGCTCCGTTTATGTACACGCGCGCGCCGGCGGAGACAGTGAGCTTGGGCGCCGACAGCGACAGCTGCGGGGTTGCGTGAGGGGTTGGGTGGCAGGTGCATGAGGTGTGCGCAACGCTGTTGGTACGCCGACCGCTGCGGGTAGAGTCCAGGCGGATTGAGTGATGCATAATCGTGCTCATGAATTGTTGCGTGGCGCGACGTCATCTTGCACGTGTTCACAATCGACAGCCGTGCCCAAGCCAAGGGGAGCCCTAGTCAGAGGCTAACCTTGAATGCCACGTCAGTAGACAGGCAAAACTTCATCCTGAAATAGTAGTTCTTAGTGCCACCAGCAGCCGGCTTGCTCGCCGCCGCCGCGGCTGGCCTCTGGCCCGCTGCATGGTTGGCAGCTGCCGCCACTGGCCCCGCCGTTTTCTCCTGTCCTGAGACGGCCGTGTCAGCCTGCTGAGGAGCTCCTTGCGCGATTGGCGCCGCGGCGGCATTGGCGGCGGCCGCCGCGCCAAGCGCGACGGGCGGCGCGACCACCGCCCACACTGAGTCGTCAAACGTGGCGGACAGCCAGGACGGCTTGCCTTTCGAGGATGATGAGGTCAGCGCCGCCGCACCGGCGCTGTAGAAGCGCCAGGGGCGCGCGGCGGGGGCGCCGGCGGCGTCGCGGGCCGCGAGGAGAGAGTGGTGGCCGCAGCCCTGCTGGGACGGACGGGAGGGGAGGGCAGAGGGATGTCCGGTGCCATATGTAAACGATTATGGTAGATGGAGCCAACAAGATTGATGCGTCCAGGTATGAAGCATCGGCGTGAGGGTGCGATGCACCCAGGCTAGGGGTGCCATGACCGCGCCAGGGCAAGCATGGCGTCCCAGCAGCAGGGTGGGGGGCGGGCGCTCCACTTTGGTCCTGCCCAACGTGCAACGGTCATCGAGCACGACCCCATGTGCGCGGTTGGAGGCACCTGGCTATTGTTCTTTCAGACGCACCGTTCCGCCGCTCCCCACGGCAGCAGCAGCCGAGTAGACCAAGTCGAGGTCAAACCCGCTGCCGGGCGCCCCCGCTGAGTCAGACACCTGCGCCGCGATGACGTTCGGGCCGGCGACAAGGAGGCCCTTCTTGACCTGGGCGGCGGCGTTCCAGTACACGAAGCGGCGATCTGGCGCGGCGTCGCTGGCTACGAGGTTCTTGTTGAGGTAAACCTTGGACGGGCCGCCGGAGGCGACGCGGACGCCGACAGGCAGGCTGGACAGCTGGTGAGAGTTTTGGTGCGAGCAACGGGGGG